CCGAGCCGAGCCCCGCCCCCGCGTCCCTGGCCTCCGCGACGTCCGCGAGCTGGTAGCCCGAACGTCTTCTCTGTGGCTTCCTCGCTCCGAAAGGAGGGTTCCTGACGACACCGCGGGGCGAAGGAATGTGTAAAAATGTCAAACAACCTTAAAAACAGAACAAATGTGTTTGCCTTCCGGTCGCGTGTCTGTGTGCGTTTCCCAAGACGTTCTGGGTTGAGTTTTCTAGAAAGTGGGCTCAATCCAAGAGGATTTCTGCATTAAAATCGTGTTCACGTGTTTCTCCACGTCTTCTGTCGAAGTCATAGGAGAAGCCAGGTTTTAAACAAATGTGGAAGTACTGACAGTTATATGTCATTTTACATAGTAAGCGAAGATGCTTGCGCCTTTAGAGTAAGGAAAAACGACCCACTTCCACAGGACGTCGTAGGTCCCAGGCTTTGGCAGTTCACTATATTTTCCATAATTCAGATGTCACGTGGCTTGTATATGTGCTTGTCTCTCAGCCAGGCCATGAACTCTTCAGCAGCCTGTCCCTTAGTCACCGTTGTATTTCCCACCCACGATTCCATATTTCCGATGTGACACAAACATTTGCTTAATGACATAAAATTCCCCCCGCTCCCCGTCCACTGAAAATGACTTCAAAGCTCCATCATCATGAGCGCGGCTGAAACATACTCAGAGGAGCCCTTCCTTTTATCTTCCCATAGCTCTGCTCCTTGAAGAGACCAGTGCTGACAAATATGTTTTCAATTTAAGGAAGAGATTTTATCCAGCGTAGTCTCCTGGCCAAATGCCTGGAAATCCTGAACCTGAACTAATGACAGTCACAAAGGAGGGCTTGCATATGAAATAGTCGAAGGGTAAGAACGGTCAGATGATAACACAAAGGCCGTAAAAATATTCAAAGGGTACATGAAGTCCTTTCACATTTTTTGCGATGCTTGGTTAAAATGCAAGTGATGGTTAAATGTACAGAAGTTGTGAAATATTCAGCAGGTGCATGTTTAAAACTCACAATCTGCGAAGGCGAAGAAGGCAGTATGTTCCTAAGCTAGTAACAAATCTCACCAGTGTTTAAAGCAAAAAATGAAAGCATGCTGGGCTGTGTAATTATCAAGTTTAATTGATAAGTAATCACTCAAGCTGTTTAAAGCTTAACAACGATTTTCAGATTCTAAACAGACCAAAGTCAACAGTTTCTGACTCTCTTCTTTGCATTGTTTTATAACCACCCTGTCATGCTGAAATTTTGTTAAGAATTACATAGGCGTCTATATTTATGAGAAATACAACCAAAAATATTGAGGACTCTAAATCCTCATAAACATTTGGCTCCTTAGAAGCTTTTTTTTTTTCCTTTTGGATTAGAACGTCATGAAGAATCATTGTAGAAAATTGGAAAATCCAGAAAAGCATAAAGAAGAAAATGAACAAACAATTTTTGCATCGTGACCTAATGCGCGGACCATCTTGTTCTCGTTTGGATTATTGTAATAGCTTCCTAACTGGTTCTCCTGCTTTAATCTCTACCTAGCCCGACAGCCAGAGGAATCCTGCTGCAATGCTGATAAGTCATTCCTCACGAACTTTCGATGTCCCCGTATCACTGAGAATAAAAGCCAAAGAATTTACAATGGTCCACAAAGCCCTGCGAGCCCTCTAAAGCAGAGTGTTTAGCTGTTTTTGTTTGCTGCTGTATTCATTTTCTAAAGTGTAACAGATCGCCCCCAAATTTAGTTGCTCAAAACAACAATCATTTATTATCTCACAATTTCAGTGGGGATGGAATTTGGGCGGGGCTTGGCTCAGACTTTCAGTTATCTGTTGGCTGGAAGGCTTGGCTGGGGCTGGGGGATCTGCTTATAAAGCACCTGGCTCACGTGGCTGTGGCTGATGCTGGCCACCACCAGGTGGCCAAATCCTCTCCAGGAGGATGTCTGCCCAGGGCTGTTTGCGTATCCTCAGTGGAAGCGGACCGCCCCCAGACTGAGGAATCCAAGAGAGTCAGGGAGATCTCGTCATGTCTTTTGTGACCTGGGCTCAGAATTCACTCACTGTCGCTGCCACTGTGTTTTATTAATCGTGCCAGTCCAATTCCGTGAGGAAGGAGATGCCCCAAGAGGCTGGCTGGTGCAGCTGCTCTGTCCCCTATGCCTGAAACAGTGCTGGCACGTAAAGGAAACCCAACCAGTATTTTGAACACTGAATAATTTCCACCGCTTAGATTTTTAAAAATATATTTCTTTGCAGCCTTTTTTTCAAGGCAAATATGCTATGTTGTTTATTAAAAATCAGTATCTTTCTAGGTAAAAAGTACAATCTATAAATATAAACACACTTAATTGTTAATAAGTATATTTTAAAATATATTTAATGTTTTTCTAAAATTACATCTTTTTGATACACAAGTTATTGCAACCCTCTTAGCATTTCTGTTTCTAGATTTTTTTTTTTTTCTGTTATAAAAACGTTGTGGTGAACATCCTTTGAGGGCATCTCCTACTATTTTCTTGGGGAGCATGCCTAGAAATAAGAACTAAGGCTATAACATTTACCATACAGCAATAGAGTGACATTGACTTATTTATTCCAAGCCAAGAAACGATGAACTAAATTCTTTGATGACTGAATGATTTTGAATTGCCTGGACTTTTCAACATGAACCTGATGTCTATGCAACTTCACTTCCTTTTAAATAATCTTAGCTCTCTCCTTTTATACTTTCATAATGCGCTCGACTAAGATATGGAAATAGGATGTGGATAAATTATTAGGAAACTTATGAGAGTAAACAGAAGAACAAAAATGTCGGATGCAGGGTCTCGGCAACGTGTTCTCGTCTGACAGAAATGGCGAAGCGTTTGGCTCCCGTTTCTGAAGCTGCCATCTGAAAAGTGACTTCACAGGCGACTCGTTGGTGCCACCCTTTCAGTTTTGGGTCTGGAATTCTCCAGGCCTGACCTGCGGGCCCTCCAGCGAGTCCGTCAGCTTGCAAAGCTCGTGGGGCGACTCTCCTGGGCAGGTTGCATCATGCCGTCCCCACCTAAGGGGAACCTTAGGAACAGGAAGGTAAAGCAATCGAAACTCCATATGTTGTCAGCTCCATAAAGTCAACACTCCCCACTAGATATCGGATGATAAGACATTCCTGTGGTTAATAAGTCCCAGCCGTGCAAATCACAGGACGTGCTGCGGGAAGGAAACGGGGCACAGCCGGAGAGCACCTTGGCCTTGGGACTCTGCAGGCTGGGGCTCCGTGCCCCCTGCGTGGCTTGCCTCTCTCGGAAAGGTTTCCTGCTCGGTAAAAGTCAGAGGAAACTAGCCTGTTGGGTTCGCAGTTAGACTTCCTAAAAAGAACACTCGGGAAAATGTGCACCTAGAGTCTGTGCGTACACTCTAATAACACGGCATCAACTACTTTGATTTTTCCTTAATACGTCACGACACAACGATTTTTCTGGCTAGCCTTGTAACTCAGACGTGCTGCTCCCAGCACACAGAGTCCGGATGATGAGTGACATGGCGACGACATCCGTACCCTTGGTCGGGATTCCTGGCTTGTCCAGTCAGTATCAATCATTTTTTCCTTGTCCGTACGGGGCGGTTGGCAGCCTGAAGACAGAGACTCTTTGTTAAGAGGGCCACCCACAAAAAGGAGAACTTAGCGAGTGAAGCGATTCGTTAATTTGAGGAAGTAGAAGACTTGTGTCACTCCAAAATTTGAAAAAATGTAAATAAAATGTAAAGAAAATTTGTAACGCGGGTACCGTGAGCAGCCAAACATCCTTCCGCTGGACCCACCAGTTACCGACCGAGGCGTCTGAGTCCGCGCAGGCGCTGAGGGTGGCTTCGGCGCCAGGGCCCCCAGTGCAGCGGCCCAGCCGCGAATTAACGCCCTGCGCTAAGGCCGCCCGCGCTGTCCCGCTCAGCCCTCCAGGGACTCAGAGCGCCCGCCCCGGCATTTCTTAATCCTAAACTCTCTGAGTATCCTGTCCCCCAATAACCTTTCACCCAGGAGTTCTCACTTCCATTTCTATGCTCACCTGACCCAGGTATTACATTGGCCTTGCAAAAACCGTTGCTTAAAAATTCTATCAATTTATCTGCATTCGGTAGCTGTTATTCTCTCATAAAGAAGCAAAGAAGCGTTCTCTCTCTCTCTCTCTCTCTCTCTCTCTCTCTCTCTCTCTCTCTCGACTCATGAATATTTGGGAGTAAGGAGGTTATAATCTATTATCATTATTATTCTTTCTGATCACCAAATTGTCCCAAATTCGGTATGAGACCTCCTGCAAGCTAGCTCCTGAGAATGTGGCTCGACATTCCCCCAGGCTCTTGGTGTCATGGGTGTCCCGGATTTCGGCCTTTCTGATAAGTGGGCAGTGGTGTCTCCCCAATGCTTTGGACATGTGATGGGGAGCATCTTTTCACATGCTTATCTGTGTCTTTACATCTTATTTGGTGAGTGTCTGTTAAGGTCTTTGGCCCGTTTTTTAATCAGGTTCTTGTCTTATAGAGTTGTAAGAGTTTTTGTATATTTTGGATAACAGTCCTGTATTGTATGTGCACATTTAAATATAAATATATGTATGTACATTGTCTTCTGTGACGAATGTGAATGTAGATCAGATCTTAGTCTTAAAAGTTCGGCTCATATTATATTGGCATAAATGAACCCAAATGTGCCAGAGACGGTGGATGAGGGGAGCCTCGATGCCAGAGCGTGACGTTTGCGGTACTTAATGCCGCAGGGACACTGCTGAGTCGCTGCTCCTCAAGAACTGCAGAAGCCGAGGGAGGCACAGGCTGCATCTACGTCGGATCTACGGAAGATGAGTTCAAGTTGATCCTTATTTAGGGGTCCCTAACAATGCAGTGGTTAGGAAAGAGGCACCCCTGGGACGTGCAGGTACCACATCCTGCAGCCGCCCTGTGGACGGCAGGGGACACTGAAAGCTGGCATGGAAACAGCCACCGTTCCCTCCTTTACTGGGTTCGCGCGCGTTAAGCAGCTCTCTTCTGGTTTGTTCATAAATAACACTGCACAGCTCAGTGTGGAATTTCTGATTGACCCGACTCACAGCCTTCGGCAGCTGGAACGGTACCGGTGGTCCTGGCGGGCCACACGGGTCTCCGTGCTTCACCGGAGCCCAGCACGCCCACTCCTCCGGGGCAGGACGCCAAGGCCCTGAGCCGGTCAGTGCAAGGCGGCCACTCCCCGGGCGTCAGGCAGAGGCCCGGACGCCGCCTCCCCGCCAGGCGCCAAGGGCGGCCCAACCTGGGGACCCAGGATCAGTCCCCAGGCTTGGTCCCCTCACTCCCGGCCACAGCCTGCGGAGGGTGACAGAGCGAGCAGGACGAGGGCGGGCGGGACCCCCAGACCCGCTCCGTGCGCCCCGGGCGGTCCCTCAGCCGCCCTGAAGCGTCGTCCGCCTCCTGAGCGCGCAGGAGGACCAGACGGGAAACAGGCCACAGGAGGACCTGGCGGGAAACAGGCCACCGCCCTCCGCGCGTCGCGGCTCAGCCGCTGTCCTGGCGGTTTGGGGTTCGCGATCACTGGCTCCCGCCCGGCCGGACCCCAGGCCGTGACTCCCCAGTTCCTGGGCCAGCCCTCCCGGGGGGCCCCGTCCGGGGGCGGGGGGCCCCGAACCTCTGTCCGCCTTCGGAGGCCGAATTCGGACCCACAGCTGTCTGCAGTGTCTCCCAACTGAACTCTTTCCAGCGGGTGACGGCCGCCATGGACGGAGGGGCCAAAGCATCCCTGGGTACGCGGTCTGTGGGTGGCCCTGAACCCTGCAAGAGGATACGGAGACGAATGAGACGTAG